GGACTAGGGAACAGGCAGGAGCACAGATTTAGCAAAAGTTAACACTGGCTGTGCTGGCATTTTGTAATTCCGGTAGATGTTTTAGATGATGAAGAAGAAGAGATTGGATTTATACCCTGCCCTTCACCTTCCCTTCTTCTCCTCACAGCAGATACCCTGCGAGGTAGGTGAGGGTGAGAAAGCTCTTTTTAGGACTGCTGTTGAGAGAACAGCTCTGAGAGAACTGTGACTGATCCAAGGTCACCCAGCTGGCTGCATGTGGAGGAGTGGGGAATCAAACCTGGTTCTCCCAGATTAGAGTCCGTGCGCCTAACCACGACACCAGACTGTTTGTTGCTTCTTTAATTTTCTGTGGAGTAAATAATTGTTAGGGTGTTTTTATCACGGAGTATTGTGATTTTGGATTGCATTTTACAGTGGGATCCCTTGGCTTTCTTTCTGCTTTCCAGAGGGGTCATGCCGCAGCTGCATTCACATTGTTTAACAAATACTTAACGTGCTTTGAGCGCACCGCAGTTTCTTGCAGAGGGAGGAGCTGAAGCAGGCAGGGAGCTGGAGCATAACTGCCTCTCTCGTGTTTTAGGTTTTGCAGGAGGCTACCAAAGATGCTGACCTGCATCATGTCGCCTGCAATTTTGTGAAGAAGCCAGGGAACATCTACTACCTGTACAGAAGGGCAAGCGGGCAGAGATACCTCTCCATCTTATCACCGAAGGTAGCCAAAATATGCTGCTAATATAAGGGCAGGCTGGGGTGGGTTTTGACCAAAGGTCTCACTGGCTGACAAGATCTTTTTGGGAATCCCTGCATGGAGGACATGAAGGCAACAGCCCCCTGCACCAGCAAGTGATATTATTATTATTATTATTAGTAGTAGTATAGAATCATAGAGTTGGAAGGGGCCATACAAACCATCTAGTCCAACCCCCTGCCCAATGCAGGACCAGCCTAAAGCATCTCTGACCAATATCCGTCCAGCCTCTTCTTGAAAGCTGCCAGTGAAGGGGAGCTCACCACCTCTCTAGGCAGCTGATTCCACCTTTGAACCACTCTGGCTGTGAAAAAGTATTTCCTAACATCCAGCCGATACCTTTCTGCATGTAATTTAAACCCGTTGCTTCGGGTCCTATCCTCTGCTGCCAACTGGAACAGCTCCTTGCCCTCCTCCCAATGACAGCCTTTCAGATATTTAAAGAGAGTGATCATGTCCCCCCTCAGTCTCCTCTTCTCCACACTAAACATTCCCAAGGCCCTTAGCCTTTCCTCGTAGGGCTCAGTCTCCAGACCACTGATCATCCTCGTCGCTCTCTTCGGCACCCTTTCAATTTTGTCCACATCCTTTTTGAAGTGAAGCCTCCGGAACTGCACACAGTACTCAAAGTGCGGCCTGACCAAGGCAGTATACAGAGGAGCTATGACCTCCTGCGATTTCGATGCTATGGCCCTTTTAATACAACCTCGATGCTTTGGCCCTTTTGATGATGATGATGATGGTAGTAGTAGTAGTAGTACTAGAATTCTGCTCTCCCTGAAGGGCTCAGGGCAGTGTACATCACTATCACACATGCAGCAAATTTAAAAAATAGAATAAATAATTAGTTACAGCTAAAATCAATAGACATTGGGGACTGCTGTCTTACAGTGTGTTTTGCTTATTGTCTGGGAACAGTGAGATACTCTTATCTGCTATAAGTATAGCCTTCTTAATATTTTTTTAAACATTTATTAGGAAATTCAAAATGTACATAACGTATAATTACTTCCCAACAGCGTTCATATAACAATTGAAATAAAAATTATACATTGCCGTTATATCTTGTCATCCCCTTCTTTAAACATCCGAAGGGAATGTCTGCCCTTAATTAGAAGAACATTAACCATAACAATTTTAGTCCTAAAATACAACTCTCAAAAGGGAACAAGGTCATGAAATTAAAAAAATATAAGCAATAGATTGTTTCAATGATGTATAAATACAGAAATATGTTGATTTTCCCCATAAAAAGAAACCATTTATCAAGCAAACTTTATTGACGAGCCTGAACAGATGCGTTTTGTATAATATCTGTAATTTTATCCATTATGAAATAGTCCCACAATTTAAGATACCATTGTTGCACTGTGGGGGGGGGGGGTCTTTTTCCTTCAATTTCCTCAGCCTTCTTAATAACCTGTGTCACACAACACAATTCCTTTTGGGTCACCTTCTTCAGGAGAATTGTTTTGAGAGTAGATCTATATCCCCTGTAGAGGCTTTCTGGTTCACAAGTCTTTATTCAGAGGTAGACTGCACCTGAACCTTGAGTTTCTATCATGGCTAATAGCTGTAGATCAATTTACCCTCTCTATATTGGATTTGAGAGAGAACATGAGAAGAATCCTGCTGGATCAGGCCATCCTGTTCAGTTTCCCACAGGAAATGGGCCTCCACGGGGTCTACAAAGCAGAGCACAGAGGCTGAAGTCTGTAGCCTCCTCCTCCCCCCCGCAACTAATATTTGGGCCTGCTCTGCCTTTGAAACGGGAGATTCCATTTAGTTGTCGTGTTAGACCTCTCCTCCCTGAAATGCTCTAATGCCCTTTTAAAGCTAGCGGCCTTCAGATGCCTTAAGTTAATTACACAGTATGTGAATCCACGCTTTCCCTTCCCAGACATCTGTCCTGTTCATTGCAAGCTGAAACGATCCTATCAAAGAGAAATTTTCCTCCCTCTCCCAAAATACTAGAACTTGAGGGCATCTGATGAAGATGATGGGCAGTAGGCTCAGGACGCACAAAAGTAAATGCTACTTTACACAGAGAGTGGTTAAAATGTGGACGTTGCTGCCAGAGGATGTGGTGATGGCCACAGGAATAAGCAGCTTTGAAAGGGGATTGGATAGATTCATGGCGGATAAGTCTATCAGTGGCTACTAGCCCTGGTGACTGAGGGGAACCTCCACATTCAGAGGCACTAAGCCTCTGAATCCCAGAGTCAGGAGGAGGCCACATCAGGGGAAGGACTTGGCCTCTATGCCCCGTTGTTGGCTCTCCAGAGGAGCTGGTTGGCCACTGTGTGAGACAGGATGCTGAACTAGATGAACTATACTGGAAGAACAGTTTTGCTTTCACTGCAGCCATGTGCTCAATGCTTGTGTTTTAAATGCCTCGTGGGAGTGATTTGCCTGGACTTGGATGGCCGAGGCTAGCCTGATCTCATCAGATCTCAGAAGCTAAGCAGGGTCGGCCCTGCTTAGTACTTGGATGGGAGACCACCAAGGAAGTCCAGGGTCGCGACGCAGAAGCAAGCAATGGCCAACCGCCTCTGTTCATCCGTTGCCTCGAAAACCCCACGAGGGGGTCACCATAGGTGTAACTTGACGGCACCTTCTTTCAGAAATGAATTGCAAGCCTTTGGTTACATGAGAGCGAAGATGGAGCTGGTGGAGGGGGGAGCTCAAGCGGACCCCTGTGGACTGTAGCCAGGGAGTGTCAGCCAGTGTTCCCTCTAAGCTGAGTGAGTGTGAGCTAGCTCACAGTTTTTTAGCCTCCGGCTCACGCATTTTTGTCTTGGCTCAGGAAGGAGGGCTCCAGAGCTAACTAATTCATGCAGTAGCCAAATCGCCCGCTCACAACTTTAATACCGGTTGCTCACAAAGTAGAAGTGTTGCTCACAAGACTCTACAGCTTAGAGGGAGCGTTGGTGTCAGCCATCTTTCCTATCTGCATGGCCGTGTCCCAGGGCTCTATGTCTTGGTCACCCGAAGATGGGACATGGCTTTTGTATAGCCATGACTGCCCCTGTCGTGATTTCACACCTCCTTTGTGACGCAGGTGTAGCGTTGTCACCGTTCGAGAAGGATGAAGGATGCCTCGATTTGGAAACAGAGTTGTGAATCCTGCCTTAGGCTTGAGGAACCCGCCTCTCGACTTTAGCGGCTCTTCTGTTGGAGGAAGGCTCCTTAGGGTGGAAGAAGTTTGCTTGCTCTGTGGAGTGGGGGAAGAGAGGGCAGGGCCCACACCAGATTCTTGGAGACCCTGTGTGGTTTCTGCATGCCGGGGAAAGGGGCCCCCTCGGGTGCCAGCGTGGTTACTTCTGACTGCAGATGGGAGAATCCCATTTTCCGAATGCTCTCTTGCTGGTAATTAGCCACTGATTCATGAGAGCAGCCTGGAGTCTTGAGAAAGAACAGGAAGCGATGGATTAGAGGAAAGGAAGTAATGGATTAGGCTGTAAAACAGAGGGGAAAATTGGCAGGAAGAGAGAAGGGGGGGGGGTGAGAGAAGCTTTTTCTGTGGAATTGTCATTGTAGAGCCCTGTGAGTGTATAGGTTGAAATTAATCAGTGGCAAGTCAATTTGGTGTGCCATCAGTGATAGAGAGAGAGAGAGAGAAAGATTAGTTCTGCAGAGCCTACAGCGGCCGCTTCTAAATAGAGGTTTTGCTTTGGTTTCATGTGTAAACTGGAGTGTTTGGGTTTTTTCCCCCCTGGAGTGGCATCCACATGCTGTTGTCCACTAATGGCCCGCTTTCCCCATTTCCCCCTGATTGCTGCAGTCTTTTATTTTTATTTCGTTATTTATTTATCAAATGTATACCCTGCCCTCCCAGCCAAGGCCTGAACCTGGTTTGGTATGACCTTTTGAGAGAGACTGCAGTCAAAGCATGCCACGTGGACAAGAAGTTGTGCATTCTTGATGCTCAGGCTGACACAGATGCCATTTCCCTTGCCCAAGGCCCTCTGTGGCCAGCATTCCCCCTCCCCACCCCCCAGACAATGCTCCCTCTAAGCTGTGGAGCCTTGTGAGCAAACATTCTACTTTGTGAGCGACTGGCGTTAAAGTTGTGAGCGAGTGATTTTGCTACTGCATAAATTAGTTTGCTCTGGAGCCGTCCTTCCTGAGCTAAGACAAAAATGTGTGAGCCAGAGACTAAAAAACTGTGAGCTAGCTCACACTAACTCAGCTTAGAGGGAACACTGCCCCCAGATAACTTTTGGGAGCTTTTTAAAAAAATGGTAATTGACATATTGCTGTACCAGTAAGATACAGGCAATGTGTCAATTACAGTGATATTGCTATAGCTTAAAAATGGTAGTGGGCATATCACTGTAGTTGTCACATTTTTTTTTTTAAAAAAAAAGCTTGGAAAAACCCTCCATTGAAGAAGAAGAGATTGGATTTATACCCTAACCCTTCACTACCCAAAGGAGTCTCAGAGCAGCTTACAATCCCTTTCCCTTCCCCTCCCCACAACAGACACCCTGTGAGGTAGGTGGGGCTGAGAGAACTCTTTCGAGGACTGCTCTTGAGAGAACAGCTCTGAGAGGACTTGTGACTGACCCAGGGTGACAACAGCAGCTGCATGTGAAGGAGTGGGGTATCAAACCCAGTTCTCCCATATTAGAGTCCATGCTACAAACCACGACACCAAACTGCCCTGGGAGAGGGTGGAATGGCAGCCAGGGTGGGCCTGGGACCAAAAAAATTGCAGAGAAAGCTACCATGCGGCCGCTGTGTCTTGCTGTGAGCTTGTCTTTTCTCCCCCTCCTGTACAGGACTGGGGCCCCAGCTGCCCCAGCGAGTTCCTCGGGGCCTACAAACTGCAGCACGACATGTCCTGGACCCCTTCGGACGACGTCGAGAAGCGAGAAGCCGAGCTGAATATCCTGGAGAAGCTGCTGAGCCAGCAGGCCTCTCTGCCGCCGTGCAGCGAGCCGAACTTCCAGGGCCTGACCATGTGAAGTCTGTTTGTGGGTGACCCAAACCGAGGAAGCTGGTGGGAGCGGCCAACGTTTCTGACCTGTACATGCAAAAAAAAAAAAAACGGGTCCCCTTTGAGCAGTGCGGTGTCAGGACTGCACAATGGGAGCGTCTGCACTGCACGGTTATCTCAGGCTGCTGTCTGGACGTGGTGGGATGGGCGTTTTCCCTCCCTGATCGATCTCTGAATGTGAGCAAACAACAGCTGCTTTTTGTTAGCTGAGGGTTGGGTTTTTTTAGTGTCCCACACAGTTCTTTTACAATCCCTGGGTGGACTCCACCTAGGAAGAGGTGTCTGAAGCCCATGGAAGATGCTCGCTAGAGAGTTGCCCATGTTGTGTATTGTATTCTGTTGCCAGATCTGTAGGGATCTCTGAGCGCTTCTTTCCGTTGATCCGGTCTGAATCCTGCCTTTCCTCCAAGGAGCTGAAGGGGCACACACGATTCTCCTCTGTTTTTCCTTCACGACAACCCTGTAAGGCAGAGGGAGGCTGAGACAGAGAGTGATTTGAGTTTCATGGGTGAGCGGGGATTTGAACTTGGGTCCCGCAGCTGTGGTCCCAACAGTAACAAATATGCCCACCTGTTTTTTTGAGCCACTTTATCCTGTGCTACTTTGAGATCAGGAAAAGCCTGCGTGAGTCGAACTCAGGCTTCTTGTGCTGTCTCCTGGGCTCAGGGTGCAAGCCAGGAAGACCTCCGTTCAAATCTCACTGCAGCCCATGCCAACCCGCTGTTGTCTTGGCCCCCATCACCAAATGGGGGGGGGGATGATAATACTAATTTACTTTACAGGGTTCTCGTAAGATGGTTGCAATAATGTGTGATGCATTCCAAAGACCTCAGATGTGGCAAATAAATTGCTAAACATTCTTCCTGCGGTATTTCATTGACATTGGAGTTTGTGGCAGTTACACAATGCGTCTGTGCAAAGTGCAGAAAAGGGCAACAAAAAAAGAACAAAGGGGTGGGGACATCTGTATGAGGAGAGTCTAGAGAGCGTGGAGCTTTTCAGTACCGAAAAGAACAACTCACTGGGGCTGGGACGTGAGAACAGTTAATGAATTTATGCATGGAGAAAAGGGACAGAGATAACGGGGAATTTCAGACAGGCGCTATGTCCCGGTAGGGAACCGATTCTCAACCGGGTTCTGGTCTGTCATTTCAGACAGAACCCGGTTAGGAATCGGTTCCCTACCGGGATCTAAGTGGCATTTCAGACACAGAAGCCTCTCTTCCGGTTAGGAACCGGGAGGGAAGCGATTTACCTGTCAACTGCTTCCGAGGAGTCTCCTGTTCCCTCTCCCGGTTCCGATACGCTTGTTTCCCGCCTTTTTTCGCCCGCGCGGGTTTTTTTTTTTTTTTTGAACGTTCGGCTTATAGCGATATATTGATATATCGCTATACCGGAACCTCTAAGGAGTCGCATTCCAATGGGATCATTATTGCGACCATTTGAGGTTCTGGTATAGCGATATATCAATATATCGCTATAAGCCGAACCTTAAAAAAAAAAAATCGCTCACCCGTGCGGGAAGAAAATGGCGGGAAAACAAATCGGTGCGTGTGTGAAACGCCAAACCGCTTCTTATCCGGTTCCTTTCCGGTAGGGGCAAGCTGTGTGTGAAACGGCAGCCCTGTACCGGTTCAACTCATAACGGAAGACTCCCGGCTTGAAACCGGGAGAAACAAGGTAATGTGAAATTCCCCAACTTTTTCCTCCCCAAGTATGAGAAGTCGGTGTTTGAAGTTGATGGGCAGTGAATCTGGGACAGAACGAAGAAAATAACTTCATTACTTGACAGATAACCCACTTGTGGAACTCCCTGTCAAAAGATATAGAAGTGGACAGCAGCTTAGATGGCCTTAAAAATGGGGTCTGTGGAATGCAGCTTATTTATTTATTTATTCATAGCCTCCACATTCAAAGGCAGTGTATCTTGGAATGCCATTTGTCGCAGGGCGTGAACCAAGAGAGGCTTGAACCCCGGCATTGCTGCTTCTGGGCCTTCTGGGGCAACCAGCCTACATTAGCCTATCAGGAGTCTCATTCCTTGCCTCTTTTTGGCTTGTCTCCTGTGTCAAGTTTTAGGGTGTGGATATCGAATGCGTGCTGGCAGTCGTCTGCAAATGATGCGCAGCTCCCTCGGGAAAGGGTTGGTTTTGCTCTTGCTTGTATTGAACGACTACAGAGGCTCCAGATGTATGATGGGAGGAAGGGGAGCAGTCCTTTATTTGTCATAAATGTATGAAGCATGCCTCAAATTACCTCAAATCTCCCCTTCTCTGTGCTTCCAGCAGACTGGTCCCCCCCACCAACCAGCATCCCTATTTTTCTTTGAATTGATCTTCAGTACTCTGTACTCTTTTTCAATTTCGGTGTTGCCCATCTGGTGATGTCCATGTGTAGAGTCGCCTCTTAGGTTGTTGGAAAAGGGTGTTCACTATGACCAGTGTGTTCTCTTGACAAAACTCTGTTAACCTTTGCCCTGCTTTATTTTGCTTTCCAAGGCCAAACTTGTCTGTTATTCCGGTTACCTTTTGACTTCCTACTTTAGCATTCCAGTCCCCTATGATGATGAGGACATCATTTTTTGGTGTTAGTTCTAGGAGGTGTTGTAGGTCTTTATAGAACCGGTCCACTTCAGCCAAGAAGATCAAATCAGTCGATCCTAACAGTAATCAACTCTGACTGTTCCCTGGAAGGCCAGATAATGAAATTGAAGCTCAAATACTTTGGCCACCCAATGAGAAGGGAGCACTCACTGGAGAAGACCCTGATGCTGGGAAAGACTGAAGGTCAAAGAAGACTGGGACGGCAAAGGATGAGATGGTTAGACAGTGTCATCGGTGCAACGGACATGAAGTTGAGCAAACTTCAGAGGACAGTGGAAGACGGGAAGGCCTGGCGGGATCTGGTCCATGAGGTCGCGAAGAGTTGGACTCGACTGTGCGACTGAACAACAACCACACTCTGTACTCTGAAGCATATTGAGACTTCATCAGACCTATTTTTCTTATGATGGCCTGTTAACTCTTTAAGATGCCACAGGTTTCCTTGTCTTTTCATAGAATCATAGAGTTGGAAGAGACCTCCAGGGCCATCTAGTCCAACCCCCTGCACAATGCAGGAAATTCACAAATACCCCCCCCCTCCACACCCCCGTTGTGAACTAAGCACTGATGCAGCCCATACTTCCCTCTTCTTATGACCTGCCTAAGTTCACAGCATCAGCATGGCTGTCCGATGGCCATCTAGCCTCTGTTTGAAAACCTCCAAAGAAGGAGAGACCACCACCTCCCGAGGAAGCCTGTTCCACTGAGGAACCGCTCTGTCAGGAAGTTCTTCCTAATGTTTAGCCAAAAACTCTTCTGATTTAATTTCAACCCACTGGTTCTGGTCCGACCTTCTGGTGTAAGAGAAAACAACTCCACACCAACCTCTATAATGACAGCCCTTCAAGTACTTGAAGATAGGTAACCATTAGGGGCTAACACAGCTGGCTCTGTGGAATAAAAGGTGGTTCTCATTCACAGGCCATCTTTCTAACTGGAACCCAAGGCAGATTACGAATCTGAAAAAGCTTTTCTGTTCGTAAATAGGTTACAAAACAAGGCAACAGCAGGTGATCAGTCAGCCGGTTACTAGATTAATTTCTTTTATTTATATGCCCCTTTCCCCGCCAGTAGGGACCGAAAACGGTATATCATTCTCCTCTCCTCTGTTTTGGCTTCACAACAGCCCTGTGAAGTAGGTTAGGCTGAGAGTGTGTGACTGACCCAAGGTCACCCACCAAGCTTCCATGGCGGAGTGGGGATTCGAATCTGGGCCTCCCAGATCTTAGTCCAACCCTTCAAACACTACACCACCCTGGCTGTCACGATAATGTTTGAAATCTTAACGGTAAAGGTTCCCTTGCTTGAAAGCCAGTAGAATCTGACTCTAGGGTTGCGGTGCTCATCTCTGTTTCCAAGCCGAAGAGCCAGCGCTGTCCGAAGACGTTTCTGTGGTCATGTGGCCGGCATGACTAAACACCAAGGTGCACGGAACGCTGTTACCTTCCCACCGAAGCGGTACCTATTTATCTACTTGCAATTTCTTGCTTTCGACCTGCTAGGTTGGCAGGAGCTGGGACTAGAGACGGGAGCTCACTCCGTCATGCGGCACACTCAGGTCTTGAACTGCTGAACTACCGACCTTCCACAGCCTGCAGTTCAGCGTCTTAACCACTTGAGCCACTTGAGACAAACTGTGCAGTTGGGCTGGGGTTGCAGAACACGGGAAAGCCCAGAACAGTGCGTGCCAACCTGTCTGTTTAAGGCAGGAAGACGATCAGCACAGGAAAGACTCTATCCCTAAGAATAGCCTTCTCGTGAGTTGAGCCATTCCACTGCAGCTTCACTCCCTCTATAAGAATGCCGTCCTGCACAATTCTGTTTTGCGCATTTTGTGAAACGACATAAGTGTACAGGCCTCTCAGGCACGGAGGTCACCCGGGGCAACTCTCCCTTTGCCTAACCTACCTCACAGGGTTGTGGTGTTAAAATGCAGGCAAGGATAATACCCCCTCCGAGCTCCTTGGAGGAAGGGTGGGAGAAAAATGTAGTAGGTCGAGACTAAAGTCCTGAGTAAAACTTCCAAAGGGATTATTTTTTCATCGTAATAGATGTCGCGTCTGACGCCGCTGACTTGTGTAGGTCCACAATGAAACAGGTTCTGCCGTGCTTTCTGCCCCTTTGGAATAAAAGCAAATGTTACGGGTACCAGTGGCCGGCTTAGACTGGAATGCAGGATGTTTTTATAGTTTTCGTTGCGGTTTTTGTGTAAGATAGAAGTAAACACTTCAGCCACCGCAATGCTGAACATCCATTGGCAGGAAAAGTACAAATCCCAGGGCTTTTGAGGCTGAGAAGGTGGAGTCTGGGAGATAAGGGGTGGATTCTCAAAGGTGGTGGACTTAGTGTGTGTGTGTGGGGGGGTCACAAGATGGCACGTAATGGGTTCAGGGGACACAGCGGGGTTGTGCCATCATGTAGGGGTGGAGCCTAATGGACATGGGGCGGAGCGAAGAGCAAAACCTCTTGACGCAAGTGAAAAAAGCGTGCCTCCTTAGTTCTGTTTCCTTACCCCGAAGTTTTACACCTTTCCCAGGACATTCCGAGGATCAAACCCACTGACATCAGGCATATATTTATTGAAGGAATGGGGAAGAGGGGAACTGAGATCATGCTCAGTCTTTGCACCGTCCTCCCCATCTGCTTGCAAGGAGCCTAGCACGCACATAAGTGTGCCCAGTCTGCACAACCTGTCCCTTGCCTTTTGCTCTGTACAGTCTAGGCCGGGGTCCCCGACATGGTGCCCACCAAGTGTTTTTAGAAAGTGGGTGGAAGCAGGTGAGGCTCTTGCAAATTAAAATAATGCTTTTTCAGCAGCAGCAGCAGCAGCAGCAGCTACCTCCACAGGGTTTTATCCTATCTCACTCCTCTTCGTGTACTTTACAATAACTCCCTTCTCCCCTGCATTTGGGCTTCCTCTGTGTGGTTGGCTCTGCCTCCTGCAGCAGTAGGGTTGCCAGACCCACAGTCCAGCCAGGGGATCCCCTGGTCTTTGGGGCTCCAATATGCCGCCGGCTAGCTGGCTGGCTGGGGATGTCTCACCCCCATCACAATGACGTCACCCAGAAGTGACATCATAGCGTTACCGATGTCAGAGGGGTGACGCTCTAGTTTTTTTCGATAAACTCTATGGTTTTGAGGGCAAAAACCCATAGAGTTTTGCCCAAAAACTAGAGTGTCACCCCCAATGTTGGCGACATGATGACATCACTTCCTGGAGCCCCTTCCC